CGGTGACAGGCATCCCGCAGGGTCCGCAGGGGCTGAGACAGTGAATTACCATGCACAGGGCGGATCCTAGCAGGTGCTGCCTAGTGGCATCAGCCATGGGTGTTGAAATAAAAACTGTCCCATACCACGTTTGTTTGTTTCAAAATGTAGCAAAAAAAAAAAAAAAAAAATGGATTTGGGGATCTCAGCTCTCCTGTTTACTGTACGACCTCGGGCAAGTCACTTGACCTCTCTGAGCCCCAGTTAGCTTACCCACAAAATGGGAATTGCCTGCTCAGAGTGGTTTTGTGCTTAGACAAGGCAGTGGATATAAAAATGTTTAATGCGAAGCCTAATACACAATCCACACAACAGACTGCAGCGATCACAATTAGAAAGGGAAATTAGTGTCTATTATAACTGCACTTCTCCTTCTCTCTCTATAGCCCTGTGGCATGTCACCTACTACGACGGCCCGTTGGACATTTGGTCTCAGCTCAGGAACCTGGTTTCTCAACCACAAGGCTGTGCTGGCAAGTGCTACAGACAGAACGCTCCCCTGACTTCCTGGTCCCCGTCTCAGCTCCACTTCCTGTGTGACCCTGGGCAAGTTGCCTAACCTCTCTGTGCCTAAGGACCCAAACCAGTGCCTGAATGGGAAAAGTCTACAGAACAAAGGGCAGAGCTAAGAAGCCTGATTCCTCTCAGCTTGCACTTACTCTCTCATGTTTCTCATGTCTCATTCTGGGGTCATTTAATATCAGGCACTTCTTTGACTCCCTGAGGAATTTAAAATAAGATCCAACCTTAATCAATTTCCCGATTGCTTCTGCTCCACTGCTTTGTGGAATGCTGGGGTGCTGACCTGGTATGGTTTTCTGTTTGCTTGCTTTCTGTGCTACCCAAAATGGCTTACGAAAGGAGGAGAAAACAGAACGAGGTCCATTTTGCCCAAACTTGGGATAATTTGGCTCTATTAACGGTGGTTGGCAGGGCATGGGGCACGAGGACTTGGTGAAGGTGCTCTCGTAAGAGATGCCATGAGGTGTCGTTACCCGTCCTTTCTGAATCCCTGCGGTCTCCAGGAGGCCTCTCCACTCCAACCCCTTTTAATAACAGCCATGAATAGGTTCTGCTAATCTTTCTGTGTGCGTGTGTTTAAGCCCATGGTGTCAGAGGGGAAGAAGACCACCCAGCCAGTGCTGGCCCCTTTCCCTAGAGACTAAAAGGACATTGTGCATGGCAAGGTCATCCAACCCCCTCCCCTGGCGTCCAGTAACTGCCTTCCTTCGCACCCTGCAGAGGCTGCCCCCGCGCCCCCCTTCCCGTGCTGAGCCTGCCCGGCCTGGCCCTCCCTGCCTGGCCCTCCCTGCCTACAAATCGAGGCAGGAATAAACCACGGCAACCCCTCAAACACTAGCCACGTGGATCAAATATGCCTTCAAACTGTTGTTCATGATGTGGGCGGGTTCTTGCCTGTAAACCTAAAAGTGCGTCTGCTCGGGGTCGTGCTGGGAAGTGCACTGTCTTGGCTGTCTCTGTTTTCAACACCCCGGGGCTGGCGACAGCGTGGGGCTTACCTGGCACATCACAGGCTCGTGACCCTTTAAAGAAAGAGGGTGATGCCGTAGCTCTATTAGTAAAGGGGTGATGCCGGGACCCGCGTCTCTAGGAAACAATTTATGGTCTTTTTGTCTTAAAAACTCAGCTGCGAGTGATGAACGCGGCTGGGGTTCTGAGCTGGAGAGTGATTCACACTCAAAGACACAATTAACCCCACGGCGAGTTTTTTTGTTTTTTTTTTTTTTTTTTATCCTCACCCGAGGACATTTTTCCATTTTTTGTTCAGGTAGAGTGGGAGGGAGAGAGAGGAAGGGAGAGAGAGAGAGAAACATCGACGTGAAGGGACACATCGAGTGGCTGCCACCCGCACAACCGACCAGGGCCGGGGACAAACTGCAACCGAGGTACGTGCCCTTAGCGGGAACCGAACCCGGGTCTCTCAGGACCGCAGGCCGACGCTCTAACCGCTGAGCCAAACTGGCCAGGGCCCCACGGCGAGTTTTTATCTTAACCTCCAGAGAGGAGGAGGAGGGAGGAAGCAGACGGAAGGGGCCTGGCCACCTCTGATTCCAGGCTCACCCACTGATGGTCACTGCCCAGCAAAGCCGCCCACAGGCTGCCTTTCGCTGCTGTGGACACTCCGGGTGTGAGGAAATCCATCGGCTACAGAGAAGAGTGAAGAGAGGAGGGCAGCTCGCTATCCCGGCACCGGGCGTCTGGGAAAGGGGCGTCTGGGAAAGGGGCGTCTGGGAAAGGGGCGTCTGGGAAAGGGGCGTCTGGGCTCCCTTCACCTGACGAACCCGTTCCAGTGAGGTGCCCGCAGTCCAGCCCAGGATGCGTCACCCTCCCCGCCGACCACCGCTCCTTCCTCAGGGCCTTTGGTACAGGGGAGCTGCAGGCTCTTCCTTGTACTCCGTGCGGGGAACACCAGTAGTCCTGGGTACTTAGTCCTTGGTTTCATTTGGAACCACTAGTCATTTAGTTACTTTGTGAAGGATGAAAACACACCTTGCTTCCTGAATCTGTTACTAATCTGACCTTCCACCAGAAGCTAGTGGGCGAGTGCTCTCCGGAGAGCACGGCTGTGACCCTGCCAGACCTGGGATGTCTTCACTCCCTACCGGAGCAAAACACAGTGCCCTTAGGGGCTCCTGTCCGGCACCCCACCTCTCACCCCGCCTTACACCCCACCTCTCACCCCATCTTACCCCCTCCTCTCACCCCATCTTACACCCCACCTCTCACCCCCTCTTGCACCCCACCTCTCACCCGGTCTTACACCCCACCTCTCACCCCCTCCCGCACCCCACCTCTCACCCTGTCTTACACCCCACCTCTCACCCACTCCCGCACCACACCTCTCACCCCCTCCTGCACCCCACCTCTCACCCCCTCCCGCACTCCACCTCTCACCCCTCCTGCCCCCCACTTCTCACCCCCTTGTGCACCCCACCTCTCACCCCGTCTTACACCCCACCTCTCACCCCTCCTGCACCCCACCTCTCATGTCTTGGCTCCAATCGAGGACCTCAATTTTTTTTTTAATTTTTTAAAAATATGTTTTTATTGTTTTTTTTTTTAGAGAGAGAGGAAGAGAGAGAGATAGAAACATTGATTGGCTGCCTCCTGCACGCCCCCTACTGGTGATCAAGCCCGCAACCTGGACCGGGAATCAAACCAGTACCTCTCAGTCCATGGGGCGACACTCAATCCACTGCGTCACTCCTGCAGGGCAAGGACCCCAGTATTTAATCGTATGTTTGCAATCTGGATAGGGGTTGTGACGGGGCAAACACAGATCAATTTAAACTGCACACTGGCAGCCCCGGGAGTCTTCAAGGTGCACATACACACAGGTTTGCGGAGAGCGCAGTCAGCTCCACTCTGGGAGGTTTATGTTCTGTTTAAATAAACGCCTGTTGTTGGAGTATAAAAAGACATTTGAAATACAAGGTAAAAGACAACTGTCTCCTTCCCTTGATTATGCAAACGCTTCTGTCTTCAGCTGTGATTCAGGATCAGGTGTCTCGATGCCCCTGCCCTGCTCTGACAACTTGCTCCGTTTTTACACCACGGCAGACACCCAGACACCAGAGGCCAATGTCAGAGTCGAGCGCGTGACAAGAACCCTGGAATTACACTATTGCACTGAACGGGTGATGGCACCCAACAGGCCATCGGCATATGGCCTAAACATATGGCTTTGCAATTCAAATTTGGCTTTATGATCTTATTACCATTTTCAAGACATATTTCTTTCTATAAAGTACTCAGATACAAGACAGTAGGTCTACCACTCAAACCATATCAGAAATAGTAGCAGACATATTTGCAAGTTCTGAGTTGGTGAAAAAAATCAAGAATAAGGATGTTTCTATCATTTTCTCCCCTCACAAGTTAGCATGTTGAGGTTTAAAAAAAACAATGCATTGGACCCATAGTAACCCACTTGGACAACTGTACACAACTTGTACTGTTTTGATGGAAATTCAAATTTGATTGCTTCATCTGAAGGGTTTCAGAATGATAGCAATACTTTTGGACTCTTGGCATAACCTAAGGTTGCTGAGATTTTTAAATTGTTTCATTTGAGAGAGCTCATATTTTCAAATACAACCCACCCACATATTTCATTGCTGACGACGCATTGTTTTCTGCTGAGTGGGGTGAAGATGTAAGGACATTCAACAGTAAAATGCATCGCTGGACGCCTCATTATTCCGATTTGTCTTATTTTCATTTTCATTTGTGAAATTCAGGCCAGTTGAATTAGCCATGTTTAAATGGTCTAACATAGTCAAGCACAAGCGCGCGCACACACAAATGCTTATACAACCGGGGAGATCGCAATCTGAATGCGGGGGGTGGATTGTGTCAATGCTAATTTTCTCCTTGGGGTATTAGTGGTTATCCAAGAGGTTCTCACTGGGAGAAACTGGCTGAAGAGCCTATGGGACATCTCTGTATTACTGCATGTGAATCTACAATCATTTCAAAATAAAAAGTCGGAGAAAAGAAGCAAGAAAGAGAACAATATATTGCATTGCCGTCTCGTTTCTCAAACACGTGTTTGCATTGGGCATCTGTACGTGCCAGGGACCCACCTGCAGCCACTGCACACTCAAGACCCACTGTATTCCCAGATCCAGACATTTCTGTAGGGACACCTGAGAAATTGTTAACACGATGCCTTCTGAGGAGGAAAACCAAAGAGACAGGCAGAAGGCACTTTTACTTTGCATACGACCCCCTCTGTGCCCGTTGAGCTTTGTACTAAGGGCATCACTCATTCAAAAGCCGATGTATTAAGAGAACAAAGCAGACACTTCAAACCAAAACCAGACAGAAACGAAAAACTCGAGGCAGCTTAGCGGGCAACGCAGACCTAGAGAACGTGAGCGAGCCCGGCTCCGAGCCAGCCGGCCGCGGAGCGCAGATGGAAGGAGGGGATTGCTTACGGCTGGACACGCAGTAGGACAGCCGGCAGTTGAGCCTCCGGAACAGCTGCCGGTTGATCGGCCACAGGATGAGCGTGAAGAGCTGCACGGTGTTGATGATCAGCCCCGAGGCGATGAACACGTAGCAGAAGACGAGATGGCACAGGAACTGAGACTTCAGAAACCCGATGAGGTCCATGGTGGGTGGTCGCCTTTATGCACGACAGTCAAGACCCGCAGTAGGACCTCCCCTGATGGAGCAAAGGTCCCGGGCTCAGGAACGCGTCTACAACACAAACAGTGTTAAGTGTTAGGAGAAATAATATGTGCTTTTATAGTCAGAAGTAAAGAGAGAGAAAAAAAAGCTCTTAAAGATACCAGACTCTGGAGATGACACACTGTGCACTGGTTGATTTATTCTTATTCAGCAAATATAGTGCCTACTGAGTGTTGGGCACAGTATCAGCCTTTCCAAAATAAGTCCCTTATTGTCCTCATCCCTGACAGGTGGGAGGACTATTGCTTAGGGGGACATTGAGACCCTGAGAGGTTAAGCGACTTGGCTGGGGTTCCACAGCTCCTGCCACTGAGAAGTGGCCCAAGTGTCTGGGGTCCCTGCTGCGCTTTGCCAGCTCCTCTCTCCAGTAGGGGGCACTCACAGCAGTGTCTGCATTTCTGGGCTGTCCCTCCCGCTGCCCTCTCTGCCCGAACACCACCCTCGCCAACACCCGTCACCTCCTGTCGCTCATCTCAGCCCCCAGACCCGGCTCAAGCATCACCTCCGGCAAGACCTCCCTGAACTCAGGCCTGCGCTGGGTGAGATACGGGGTGACCCTGGGTGCGCCCCACTTCCCAAGGCCCCTGCACCAGTGCCCACTTCGTGTCCCCGTCAGCTCTCCAGGTACACAGCCATCTGGGGGATAGCAGAGTCTCCCCAGCCTTTGGAACACTCACCAGCACACAGTTGGGGCTCAATTTTAAAAGTCACTATTTGTGGAATGATTAAATGGAGACCAGGGATGAACGTTGAGGTATCAGTAAACACAAATAAGCAAAAATGAAGGCGGGAACCCTGCCCCACATCCCGCCCCACGCCTCACGCACGTTCTAAAACCCGAACCTCAAAGCACACACAGCAACCAGACTGGATCCTGTGACCGGCCTCAACATGGAATAACAATGACGTGACGGGTCTGGCCAACAAGCCCTTTGAGGAACAGCGTAAAGACAGAGCAGATGGGAGGGAGCAAGCGTCCCCAGGCAGCGCGTCTGTGCAGAGGCCCAGGAAAGCCCAGCCTGGCACGACCTCCTCGGTCACAGTGGAGAGACCTACTCTGTTACCAGCTTTATCAATGATACAAAAAACTCTGGTCGCTTCACATACGTTATCACCTGTTAAGCCTCACACGAATCCCGCGCGAAGAGTATTCTTCTTCTTCCACTTTCCAGAATCAGAAACCGGGATGAGCACAGGTTGGGCGATTCGCATGAGGGTGAGGCCACCAGTGGGCCTTAGGACTCAGTCTTCACTCCGAGCTCCTCCCCCTGCAGCTGTCTGAGCGGCTTCGCTTCTGGGGCGCGAATCTCCCCTCCACAGAGCCCCCCAGAAGTGACCTCAGAGGCAAAAACCAAGGCAGCACCAGTGAAATTCATCACCGCAAACCACGCAGGGTGGGGAGACGGGACCTGCCTCGGCCACCCAGGCTGGTGTCCAGGCTCCTCTGGGCTTCGAACAGCCGCAAGGTGTGTTCTTCTAAGTCGTGTACACTTGCTTGGAGGACCTGGACGGGACTGTATTCCTGCCGGGTTTCCGTACATTTCTGACAGCACAGAAGTGGAAAGGAACCTCGGGCCTGATTTCTCCGATGTCGGCTCAGCTCAGCCGAGACGTCCCTTCTGCCCAGGAGCCTGCTGGGGTACGTGGCCGGGACTCTGTGGGGCTGGAGCCCCACGCCTCTGACCTCCCAGAACATTCCCCAGATGGCTCCAGGTTGTCAAACTCCTTCCAACACGCCAGAGCAACACCCCAGGCTCTCCCTAAGGAACAGGTGGGAAGCTCACCCTCGGTGCACGTGGCTCTCAGGAGCCTCGTGAACAGGCGGCTGGACCTCGGTTTACAGTGGGGCAGCAGTCATGCCATGAGGTCAGGTGCCCACGCTCTTCCTCCGCTGCCCATGGACTAGCCACAGAACGCTGCCAGACGGCCCGGCCGGTGTGGCTCAGTGGACTGAGTGTCGTCCCATGAACTGGGAGGTCCCGGTGCGATTCCGGGTCAGGGCACATGCCTGGGTTGCCGGCTCGATCCTGGGTAGGCAGCTGATGGATGTTTCTCTCTCACATCGATGTTTCTATCTCTCTCTCCCTTCCTCTCTCTCTAAAAAAATCAATACAAACACTGCCAGACAATCTGGCCAGAAGAAATCTGATTCTTCACTCGGCTTCTGGGATGTCGTGTTTGTAAAGTACCTGACGAGCCCTTTGCTGTGCTGATGTAACACTGAGAAACGGAGGTCGGCCGAGGCTGGGAACACGGGGACCCACGGAAGCTTCCCCAGTTTCCAGTCCGTAGTAGGGCGTTACGAAGAAAGGGCAAGTTGCTTTTTCCTTGCAAAAGACCAAGGGCCACCGTGCCCCCCAGTAAGGCCCGTGTTAGCACTGCAGGAAGCAGGCTGAGCTCACACAGTACTGGTGACGTTTAAGGAGGAGCCGAGCCTAAGGGAGAACCCCAGGCAGGCCTTGGTTGGTTTGGTTCCGCACACAGTTCCTCAAGTCAGGGAGCCAGGGAAAATGCCAGAAAACCCTTGAATTTTTCAAAAGGAAGAGTCTGACCCATGAGCTTAATAGACATCGCCTGAAAATTACAGAACCAGCCTTTGAAACGCAGACAAGAGCAACTGTCCCTAGGAATTGTCACTAGGTTCAGAGTCATTGACTCCAAATGACTGCATATCCCAGGGCACTGACAGTCGAGCAGATTTTGAATTTCACTGACAGAGTCTCTGCCGGGCCAGGGCACAATGTTGGCTATGAGTCTACATTAAACTGGTTCAAGGCTGTTTGCAAAAACTAGGTCACTGTCCCCAATCTTGCAGGAGGTTTCTTATCAATGGAAGGAGTCTCCCTCTGCACCATCTGGCTGCAAAAACAAGTTGTCCCTGCAAGGATGGAAGAGACCCAGGGCCTGCACTCGCGGGGGACGCTGGATGCCTGTTTCAGGGGCGCCACATCAGCCAGTACAGACCTATGAAGAGTACCAGGCTATCTGCGAGTGAGCACATGAACAAAAAGCAGGATCAGAAACTGTAAAATAACAGTGCGTGCGCGCCATTCACACCTATATCTGTTCTGTATGCACAGCTACCTCGTAAAAGTGGCTACTTGTGGCGGAAGAATTGTGGTGATTCACCTTTTCTTCTTTGGGTTTTCTCATTCTTTCCTATAATGAGAACGAGATCTTCCCCCTCCCGGTCACAGACCTGGAAGGACCACTCCCAGCCTCCACGGCGGCTACGGGCTCAGGTGATGGAGCGTAGGTGATGAAGAAGGGGGTGCCTGCCGTCTCCGGTGGAGAAGAGGGCTGCAGGCAAACTGGGTGAGGATGCAGAGTCGGGGCGCCCTGTCGGGGGCAGGAAGGTGTCACCCGGCCCGTCGGCAGCAGACGAGAGAAACCCTGGGATGTGAAGGCCACCTGAGGCCCCTTGGGCCCAGGCACCGCGGCTGGGAGGGAGGCAGCAGAGTGTTAGACCAGGGCAAGGAGTGACTGCAGGACACACAAGCCGGCAGCCCTGCTGGATCCGGGCACAGCTCCTCCCAGCCACGCACGTCACTCAACTTCCACAGCCCTCGGCTCCCCCTCGGTGCCATCGGACACCTGCCACGTCGGGCTGCCGTGCGGACCAAGAGGAAGAAAGCATCCGAAACGCTGAGCACACTGCCTGGAACACAGGCAGCGTCCAAACAACAGGGGGACTTTTCTATTAGTGCAAGAAAACAGGGGCGAAGGGGAGAGCTGGGCTCTGTGATGTTGGCATTTCTGGGAAGCCACCGAGAGGTAAGTGACTCTGTTTTCTTCCCTTTTTTTAATCCTCACCTGAGGACATTCTTCCATTTTTTGTTCAGATAGAGTGGGGGTGGGGGGAGGAAGAGAGAGAGAGAGAGAAACATCGACCTGAAAGGGACACATCAAGTGGTTGCCACCTGCACAACCCAACCGGGGCCGGGGACAAACTGCAACCGAGGCACGTGCCCTCAGTGGGAACCCGGGTCTCTTTGGACCACAGGCCGACGCTCTAACCGCTGAGCCAAACCGGCCAGGGCTCTGTTTTCCCTCTGATGGCATATCTAGATCCTGACATTTTCTTTAATTTACGTTGCAGCATGTTAAACATCCCCCCCGCCCCCGGTTTTCATTCTAACCTGTACATTTCTGTGAGGGACTCAGAAACGGGGAAGGACGCATTCACAAAAACTCACATGTACTTTCCCTTCTTTTTAAAATATTTTTCTTTAAAAAAAATTTTTTTAATGGATTTTAGACAGAGAAGAAGGGAGAGGGAGAGAGAGAGAGGAACATCGATGAGAGAGAACATCGACTGGCCACCTCCTGCATGCCCCCCACTGGGGATCAGGCCCACAACCTGGGCATGTGCCCTGACTGGGAATTGAACTGGCGACCTCTTGGTGCAGGGTCGACGCTCAACCCCTGAGCCACACCAGCCAGGCTGTACTTTCCCTTCTTAACCATGGACAGTCTTTCCAGAGCACAGGACGAAGCAGAGGACTTCAGAGCAGGGCCAGCCAGCAGGGCACTTGGAGCATCACCGTGTTCCCCACACACACTTCTGACCTGAGGTCTTGCAGACACGGGGACCCCACGTGCCCCCTCCAGCCCAGCATTGCCCAGCGGACCCTAAGGGCATCTGACTGATTAAGCAGATGGTGCCCATACCTGCCCAGCCCCCATCAGTGGAAAAATGAACAAATAAAAGCTCGCCGTCCCCCCACGAGAGGATTCGCGCTGTACTCTTCTCTGCGTGTGCACACGCGCTCCAGCACAGAGCACCCCGCGAGGCAGCGCCAGGGCCGTCAGCTCCGACGTGTACACGCTGCCTCAGCCAGCACCCCGAGGCCACTGAGTAAGCACAGGCTTCTGCCACATTCGGGGACAGGAAACCTGGACAGAGTGGGACAAACCCTCCCACTCGCTTGCTTTTAAGGTTCGGTCGGTTGGTTTCATGCATTCGCATGACAAGCATCAAACCAGACCAGGGCTTTAGAAGAAGCGGG